GTATATTTTGGCTATAAAATGTTGTATGTAAAATAGATTGTAGGGATGAGGAAAGAAGTATATTTTTTATGATTTTTGCACTCGCCGCGGTTGCGAACCTTTAGTGCCTACGTACCACCTTACGTGCAATAGGGGATCAGGACACACATAGTTCCTCTTTAAAAAAATTTAAAACACAAGTGCGTTGGCTAATTTTATGAGATAAAACATCATCGTCATTGTCCGTGTGGAAAACATACTTACTATCCACAATCATGAGAAAGGATAATTTGCATCATCTCAAAGTGGAGGATATGGCTTGGATTTTAAAATCAACAAAACCTCACTCAACACTCAAGTGGAAAATATCACTCTTCACTATATATTGTAGAAGTATAGTTGTTTGCATCACTATAAGGATTGACAAAAGTCTAATCTTTTGATAAATTTTTTAAAGTAAAGAGCCAAGGTGGAAAAATAGTTTGACTGAGATTAATTGCCTTTTAGTCTTCTCGCAAAAATGTCAAGGTATTATTAAGTTGATTGAAGTTTATTTATGAAAATGTTTTGAAAATGCATGGACCTAAGTCCAAGTTTATTATGAAAGTGATTCAAGTTTATAAACAAGAAGAGTTTTCAAAAGGAGGGAGAAGATTTTTGAAATTAAAGAAGATTGGAGGAGATGAAGGGACTATCCTAAAGCATAAGGTAAAAGCTAGGGAGAAGAACCATCTAACCAACAAGAAACTAACATTTGATATTATGAGTCAAGATAGAATTCCCATTGAAACCAAGCAAGGATATTAAACCTCTCGAGAACACCAAACTTTAAACGTATTAAGTCTTCACAAAAATTGGGCAGAGTAACGGCTGTATACAGATGAATTCCAGATTACAGACAAAGTATGTAATCACAATAACCTACACATAAAATAAACAAACAACCCAATGTCTTGAGGTAAACCTCGAGAACTTCAGACAAAATATCAATTAAGGTCACAAGGTCTCCAATATAAGATCAAGGTCTCTAATCTTAAGTCCAAGAAGTCCAATACTCCATAGTCAAGGATAGTAACCAAATAGTCCAAGTATCATTAATGTTTTTTTATGGTTCATGTTGATTATTAAGTATCTTCAAAAGAAAAAGAAAAGCTCAAGTGAGAAAAATAAAAATGGCATAAAAGTAAATGCTCAAGTGAGAAAAGATGAAAATAGCATGAAATGTAAATGTTAAAATAAATGGTGCATAAAGTAAAGGGCGTAAGATAAAAGCGTAAAATAAATTCAATTGTTAGAAGCTAATGGTTAGTTGGATGACCATATTGAAACTTGCATTTGGAACTCATTAGTGGATTGGTAGAACCAAATCCTCTCAACAACAAGTTGCATTTGCTTTTTGTCAAGTATATCATCCATTTAATAATCCTCAAAGTAACATTTAATGATCAATGATGTTTAAGTGATCCGTATTGACCAAAATTGATGAAGATCCATTGGAGGATTGGTAGAACCAAAGTCTCCTAACAATGAATCTCAAGGTTATTGAATCAATGGATTCAAATTAACATACTTGGGCTTTCAAACATAGGTTTGGGCCACGAATTATCATTTTCTCAAATCAGGACAAAATTTAGCGTTATGTTAAGCAATCGTAAGTGGACTTATGTAGAAGTCACACCTATTTTGAGGCCCGTCGATAGCAATCAATGTACTTCATGTTTGGATAAATGATATAGAAATCATAATCCCTTAACATGTAGCACAAATAAAAAAAAGAAAGGGATAATATGAAGAGGGAGTGGAATGATAAGCTAACTTGGATAACTACCTTAAATATCTTTCATCTTTAAAATTCAATCACTCATCTCGATGGATTAAAGTACTAAACATATCATTAATCCAAAGCACCAAAAATGAATTAAATAATTCACTCTTCGGTAGATTTGAATTAATGAATATTTATCCAACTTCATCTACACCTAAAGTCCATTGAATTTAAATAGAAATTGGATATTTAAAATTGCAATCCAAATCAACAATCAAAAGTAGTGAGTAGAAAAAGAGAGATGGATCAAAACATCCCCTAAACAAGACAGAAAATACATTTTTGTTCTGTTACAATCGATTGCACTCTGGGAGCAATCGATTGCATCAGTGCTTTTTTTCAAACAAAACGTAAAATCATTCTGTGACAATCAATTGCATTCTGAGAGCAATCGATTGCACCCTGTGAAAAACAGCAAATCAGCATTTCAAAAGGCTAAATTCTTGTTCAAACTTTTCATCAAACACCTTATGATCATGGATTTAATTGAGCATGAAAATTCCATCAAATTATGAGAAAATAGCACCAATGGAATCACAAAACAATGCTCAGTGAATTAAATCCAAATATCAACAAGAGATCACATTGTGAAAGATGAAGATCCAACTTACCAAAGGTAGATCTAGAGAATTATCAAAACAACTTCAAGAATTTGCTTCAATTCAGCCCCAAGAATCAATTTCCCAAGCTTGGATATAGAGAATTAATAAAGAAAAAGTGTTTCGATGAAGTTTTAGCTTAAATATTAATAAGCTACAATGCAAAGCTTACTAACTTTTTTTGTTTTGAAAATGGAGCTTTGAGTGCATTTGGTAGATTGAGGGAATTGAGAGATTTTTTAGTAAAGTGAATTTGGCTATCAAAAGCTTGAGATTTGAATGAAATGAGGGCTCTATTTATAGAGTTTAGGCTTGGGACTAGTGGTGGTTTGAAGTTTGGTTTGGAAAATGAAATTAGGCTTGGCAATTGATTCTTGGAGCCAAAATTTGAATTAATGATATATCTTTCAAAAATAAAGAAAAATTGGAGCCAAAAAAATGACAAGCTTGAAATTACTGATTTTTTTTCAAAATTTCACTTTGTGCAATTGATTTCACTCTGGGAGCAATCGATTGCATCCGTGTTTTTTTTCAAATATTACGCCAAATGCACTCTGTGCAATTGATTGCACTCTAAGAGTAATCGATTGTACCGTGAAAAAAATAAATTATTTTAATTATTTTCCTTTGCAAATAAAGATTTTAGGGAAATAATACCAGAAAATCTTATTTGTCAGATGCTTTGACTTAGTACCTACAAAACGCAAATATACAAAGACAAAGACAAATATTTTTTGGTATTTTGATTAGAAGTTAGTCAACAACACATATACAAAATACACAACTAAGGTGCTTGGAGATTCCGCAAGAGCAAACTTAAAGATAGGAGATAGAAAAGTGAGGAAGAACCTGTAGCGGTAGAAATGTTTAAGACCTAGCCATTAGATTGACTAGACTTATACAGATCAAAATAAAATCGCCACCATGCTTTATTGTTTCCAAAGAAATGGGAAAAGAGCGAGTAACCCAAAAAGAGAGGGAAAGATTCAAGATAAGGGAGTTGGTTATGCAAAAGGAAGGTATTAGTACCCTAAACATCTACGGTACTCCGCAGGAACCTCTTTGTAAATCTGTCTATGTTGGCTATTAAAAAGAGTTATTTGCATGAATGAATCAATTTGGGAAAAAGAAGGTTTTTTATTACTATTGCGTTCGCCCGAATCTTTAATCTAGTGCCTAGGTATCCCAGGAGGAATCAGAACACTCGCCGTTCTTTTTTTTTTTTTTAAATTTAAAACACAATTGTGTTGGTTAATTTTATGAGATAAGACATCACCGTCATTGTCCGTGTGGAAAACATACTTACCACCCACAATCATGAGGAATGAGAATTTGCATCATCTCAAAGTGAAGGATATGGCTTGGATTTTAAAAACAATGTCTCACTCAACACCCAAGTGGAAAATATCTCTCTTCACTACATATTGTAGAAGTATAGTTGTTTGCATCACTATAAGGATTGACAAGAGTCCAATATTTTGAGAAAAATTTTAAAGTAAAAAGCCAAAGTGGAAAAATGGTTTGAAATGAGATTAAATAACTTTTAGTCTTTTCACAAAAATGTCCAGGTATTATTAAGTTGATTGAAGTTTATTTATGAAAATATTTTGAAAATGCATGGACCTAAGTCCAAGTTTATTATGAAAGTGGTTCAAGATTAGAAACAAGAAGTGCTTTCAAAAGGAGGGAGAAGATTTTTAAAAAAGGAGGAGATGAAGGGACTATCCTAAAGCAAGAAGGCAAATGTTATTCTGATGCTTGTGCTTGTATTAACCTCATAAGGTCTAATCAACATAAAACAATCAAAAGGGAGATTAATCGTCTCATGGAATCCTAAAGGAGCATGACATTTTAATGCAAGATAATCCTCAATTCTCAAGCATCTTATTTGATCAATATTACACAAAGAAAACACATAAAACATGATGTATAAATTTGATTTAAAAGAAATTAAAAGTATGAAGAAATAATAGGAATAAAATCTAATTAAATCCTAAAATATTTATAAAAGTCTAAAGTATTTTTTTATATCTCTTTTTATTATTTTTATTATTTTTTTATTATCTTAATATCTAAAAAAACAATAAAAGAAAATAAAACTAAAACCATAAAAGAATAAGAAATAGAGGGAAGTATAAAGCTTGGCTCAGGTGTGTTGTAAATAAATGGGGCGCTAGGCCCATGCTGAATGGTCCAATAAAAGTTTTTTTTAGTAACAAGCTCTAAAAATTGATGGAAGTATGGGCTTAAAGGAGGTTCCAAAAACGAGGCCCAATTAACTCAGTCCAATTCAGATTTTTTGTTTTCAATTTCCTAAATAAAATAAATTTAATAAATTAAAAAAAAACGGTGTCATTTTAAGAGAAGAACGCTAGGATTAAAGGATTGTGGCTAATCATCTTCCACAAACTCAACACCTTCGTCTTCTTCGTAACAGCACTGCAGAAATCAATCTTCAGGCGACGTCCCTGCTTCGACTTTTTCTGATGCATCACCAATTCGTTCGTCTCAAACTCGACTCGCCTCTTTCCACCACTCTATTTCGGCAATCACCTTCTTCTATTCATCCTTAAAGCACTGCGGTTCTTCTTCTTTCGATGCTCATCTCCGACGAATCACCGATATCGCGTCTCCATCAAGCTTCATATCCATTCGACCTCCTCAGTTGACATCATCAACTAAACGCTGCTTCGCCTTCTCAAAGCTTCAAAAAGTCACGCATCACCGATCTCAACCTTAGCCTAAACTCCTCCTCCTCGCAGCGCTACTGTCAGCTTTAAGTTTCGAAGCTTCACACTGCCTCTCTGCTCGCTTGCGATTTCGCGTTCAACTTCGCTTCGTCGCGCTACACCGATCATCACCTCTGTATCTTTGTTGTTCCATTTTCGAGTTATATTTTAGAGTAAGCATAAGCATAATATCGTACATGAAGAATAAGAAAGAAGCATTGAGACTTACCTGCCAGAGACCAGTTCGGCGCGTCTTCAATAGTGAGACAGAAAATAAATGATCCAGGTATGCGTTTCAATTTCCTCTATGAAACTATTTCTTCCCCTTTTTTTACTTCTTCGCTTTACTCTTCTTCGATTTACTTTATTCAGAGTTTTCTACATTTCTCCGTGTTTTGTGTTGATGAGGCAGCCTTGTTATTATTGCAGAAGATAAGATCGTCCTCCTCCTTTTTCTCCCCTTGGATCTAAAGATGAAATCTGTTATATATCAGTTGCTTGGCTTGTCTGAGAAGCTTCTCAGCAGGTAAGATCAATCTGAACCATTGAATTTTTGGATAGTTAGTTATCATCTGAATGGATAGGATGGATTCTGATACCAACTTGTAATGTTAATCTAAATTTCTAAAAAAACTGTTATCTGAGTTTAATACTGAGCTGAAATACTTTTGTTCATCTTAATGCTGACGCTAACCTTTTTTGGGTATTTTTGTTCTGCTTTTTAAATCGGACAAGTTCTTTTTTACATTGCAGGTTGCAGTTTCAAGTGATGCAGTGTCGGGTTTATGAACCAGTTTTGGATATAGTTTCACATATTATTATCTGAAAAAGATTTTGGACTAAGTTCGTAACAAGTTTGAACATGATTTGGAGCTCCTAACTGGAATTGTAGTTATGCTGATTTTCTGAGTTTTCTTTGAATTATTTGCCAAACAGGAAATTATTTGTCAAGATTCTCATTGGTCTTGGCTCTATTTTGTTTTCTGATTTATCTCTTCTGCTTGGTATCTTCTGGTTTAGTGTTATGCAGATTATAGCTTGGTATGGCAAAGGTGCAAGTGTGCAAAGTCTTTGGAGTCATATGAATCGTGAATTAACATGATAGAGGTAAGGACACAAGGCTGAGATTGTGTTGATATCAAAGTAAGGGTGCTCGAAGTTCATTGCTCAAAGTCTGTTGAAGTATGTTGGTGAAGATTAGGGCAGGCATGAGGAACTTGACAAGAAGTTTAGCATAGCTTTAGAAACACAGAACAAAATGTCTTGTAATTCCTTATTTTTGTGTAATACAAGGCAAAATGTGGTTTCTACTTTTGTAATATCCGGTTGAAGAAATGGCACGACTAGTTGACATACTTTGCTTATTTTTGAATTATCACCTAAGCCGTGATGAATTGAGTGAACTTGAGAATAATAAAAAAAAATTCTTTGAAGACTTTGAATTGAAAGAAATTGAACTTGCCTCTTAAATAAAAGGACCTTGCTTGCAAAACCATGAGGGATGCCCTTGAATAAAAGGAATGAAATGATAGAAAAAATGAACAAACTTGAGCCTTGAGAATATATTGAATAAGATTTCATGAACAAATTACCTATGCTTTTCAATTTTACATGATCATGATATAAGCCTTCGTCACTTGAATCACAAGAAATTAGCCACGAACGATCCTTCCAATCTTGTATGCCTACAAAAAATGAACCTTAACTTCACTTCAGTTCAAAGATCCGCATTATCTTGCAAATGAGATAACTTATTCTAAATGAACTTAATCCATATCTCAATCAGTTGAGAAATATATCCAAGCAGTCCTTAACCAAAATAATTTCTAGAGGAAGAATGTCTTGGTCATAAAGAATCCACAACTTTACGCCTTCTGCCATGATTCATGCTTCACAATTTAATTCATAAAATCGTCCCAGCTTGATAACTATTAATCTTGAAACAAAATTAATGTCTTGAGGAATGACTTAAAGATCAATGATAGGACTTGAAGTATGAAGTCCAATGAATTTCAATTGAAATGTTGACAAACTCAAGCATGATAAGATGCAAACCCTAGCATGGTGAACTTTGTTGAAGAATCATTATCAATGTTCGAGCAAGATAGGAGAAGCCTTAATGCATTTTCTCTGAGTTCACATTGATGAAGAAAGCTTGAGACGTCGAGAGGAATAAAACCTAGCTCAAGGACATTCACAATGAATTCATGATAAAGTCTTGAGTACACAAGTCAAATCCTAATGTGCTGGTTTCTTGAAGAAATTCAGATGAAGAAAAACTTGTATCTCGAGGAATCTAGCCACGAAAAACACCCATGATACTCATAAATCCAAAACCCTGGTTTTATACGAAGAGTGATAAATGAAACAGTGGACTCAACTTGAAAGAGGTAGTAACCTCAATTTATAGAGGGAAACCCTAATGCCAAGATCCATTTGATCCCATGCCTTAAAAGCTGAAATGAATGAAAGATTTATGACGTAAATGCATATGATGTTATGAATGAACAGATTAGGGGCAAAAAATGGGGTAATGATAGAACCAACCCTAATGTGATCTTGTCCTGATCGAGTTGATATGATATGATAGGGGAATCTTAAGGGAAAAAATTGGGGTACAACACATAGTAATGACTCAGCGCGCGCGTTTTAACCACTGAGGTGGTGATACATCCATTGTTATCAGCAAAAAAAATTAAACATAACACAAAAAAACATTGCATGATCGGAGAGGCGCCAGAGCCCTAGCTCTGGTCGTCTTCTCCGGTGAGTATATTTTCCAACCTAAAAAAACAACAAATGTTAGGATCCAAAGGTACCCTACCCCCCTAAATCCAACCATGCGAATTTAATGGAACTATTATTTTGGACTGAATCACGCAGATTTTTGAGCTATAAGCAAAATAGTATGGATCAATGTGGTTATGGTGATGCGCGATTCTGGTAGCATGGAGGCCCTGTGATTGACTTTTCCTGCATATTGATACCTTATGAACACGTTAATATGGTTAGTACATGTTAAAACATAATGAAATAATAGATATAAAAATCATGCAATGATGAAACTGGTGATGCATATACGAGCGTTTCAAGCTCTTTGGATCTTCAAAGATGCCCCATTCTTACCCTACACTGTTGCTGGAAGTGAATGGGAGGGCTGGTTTTCGTGGAAAGAAGCTACAACTAGGGTTTATAAGTTGCCCTAGTTTTGAGATTTTTTGAGATTTTTGGACAAGTTTCTTGCACAAGGGTTTTTTGTCTTTGATGTCTGAATTGATGAGAATATATAGCTTGAGTTTAGGTAAAATAAACATGGGTTCAGACTTGTATGAAAAAGCCTTGTTTTATCTTATTTATTTTGACTTTTAAAAAAAATAAAAACCAAAATAAATAGAATGAAAAGATCAAGAGGTGCGTGAAGTAATTCAGAGGTTTATATGAAGTGTAGAATGCACATGGACCTTGAAACAATGGCCCATTAGCCCAAAAATTCAAGTTTGCTCAATTTGATCTTCATGCATGTGCTCAAAATTTCCCAACTTGCACCAATCATAAATCTCTCAATTTTGTCATTTGAAGGTGATATTAGACTTTTGGAAATATCAATATGTTCTCTACAATCTCTATTTTGATCATTTTGCATTTGAAGACTTTATCTTGATGTAAGTTGCCTTGACAAAAAGTGTCTTTTTGTTGACTTTTGAAATGAACTATAATGTATTGGCCCATATCTCTCAAATGAAGCATTTTTTAGACTTGAGCTTAGAGAGACAAAGTTGTAGAGAATTAAATTTACTTCAAAATGATATTTGGTTTAGGAGAATCTGATGAAGCATGTGGAAGTTATGCTTGGTCAAAGTTCAGTTGACTTCTCCTTAAGAAAACCCTAATTTGGTAACTTTTGACTCTTGATGAATTGAGACTTTTCTTGATGAATTGAGAGTTTTCTTGATGAATCATGATCAAACCTTGATCAAATGATGAATATGACTTCAAAATCTTGATATTGACCAAAAATCTTGAGGTTTGAATGAATGTTGTCCACAATTGACTTTTTGTCTAATATAGTGTATTTTCAGCCCTCTGAGAAATTCTCTGAGCAAACTTGTGATGTAAGGCTTGAAAATTGGTATGAGAATTCTTGGAGACATATAAGAAACCATGAAGTCCACTTGAGGCCTTAGAAATCTAATCTTCCTTGAGAAATACAAACCCTAGTTGTAGGTCAATTGCTTAGGAGGAGAATTTGTCTGATCAATTCTTGAGCAACCTTGAGCATTTGAGAACCCTAGGAGAATGTCTTGAAGAAAAGGAAGGGAAAATTTTGGGGTACACCAACTTGTATTAGATATAAAGAACCTTCCTCTAAAACAACCTTAAATTCATGATTCAAAACTAATATCAACATGATTCTAGTCGCCAATAAATTCAAAGATGTTTTCCTTTAGAACATAGTGAGATTGACCCATGAAAGAGATATATATTCAAACCTCCATCCAATCTTATAAGATTGGTTGAGTAAGAGTCATAACCCTTATCTTATGTATATTAGACTCCCTTCAAAGCTTCAATGCTTGGTCAGCAAAACTCACAACCCTTAGTTGAGCAAAAACCAAAACCACCTCCAAGATCCCACACTTGGATAAGAAAAAAAATATGCATCCTCTAATATGCCCATTTCTCAACTAGCCACCAAATTTTATGGGTAATGACGCCACATCCAACTCGAAACAGGGACTACTTTTTGTGCAAGAGAATGGAATAATTACGTCTTGGTTGACGACTTATCCCCAGAGATAATAAGACTTCAATATAACTAGAGACAAAAAAGTAAATCATGATTAAAGCTCAGACTCAATGAGTCCTATGTGATGCCAACAAATGGACGAACACATTAAATCAACAAGACTATGTTCAAAGTAAACTTCATCCTTAGACAAGTCATAAATACAACAAATACCATCAACAAGAGTCCCACCAAGGGATTTATAATCAACCAACACCAGATTCAAGCCCTCATATAACTCCATCCATAACCCATGACTCCAATGGGACACCAAACTCAAGCCACTACCTGACTATGTCAACTAAGGCTTAGGGGGATATTGTTCCTACCCAATAAAAAGGCCTAAAAATACGCCTATGTTACAAGGCCCAACAAACATTTGAGTGATCCAATGCCAATACCATAACTTCATGGATACATAAGCTTAACACTACCAACACTCAAGGTACACCTTTTATAAACCTAAAAATATCTTCTACCTCTAATAGCTATTGACTTAGATGTCAGAGTATTTGCATGTATCACCCTTACAACCAAACCAAAGCATCAAGATACCTCCTCACGAGATCCCGTTTGACACCACCAATAAACCATCGTCCCTAAAGGTCAACCTCCATTATTTTTGAACCCGAGTTTCATATTGGAATAATTGTTGAGTGAAATCATTCACAACTGACCATTCTTTATCCTAATAATGAAATAAAGAATGACCATCTAATGTATTACAATGTTTTTCACTTATAAAGCGTTATCACAAGGAAACTAAATTACAACACAACAATTTATTATGTTACTTCAATTATAATTGGCGGGGTTAACTGTTTCAAAAGTACTAGGATGAGAATTATAAGCGGAAAAAAAATACATGTTGTACATGGGCCGCCTGAACTTATGAAGGACTTAGTATTTCAACAATAAGTTGAGTTTGAGTTAAAATTCTCACATCACCTCAATTTCCTTGAACTACTCAAAGTATGGAGGCGACAATGTTGTCACCAGAACTGACTCGTTTAGTCTCTAAATTTCTAGCTCATTGAACATCATTTTAAGTCATGGGTTTGACAATGTCAACAAACTCTTATAAGGAACTATACATTATGTTATATATCTCATATCTATGTGACATCTAATGAAATACATAGTTATAACCACCAGGGTTTTAAATAGATTAGCCAATTGATCTCCATAACCATAGTGGGGAGGTATATATATGGACGTTCCCAACATTAACAAAGGATCATATTTTTTGTTTTTACGAAAACTAATCATAATATTTGACTTTATTATTATTTATTTTAGAGTGAAAACTCATTTTGGTCTCTCAAAAAAGAGAGAGAATATGGGCCATGTTAATTTTTATAATTTTAAACTATGACTGGACTACTAAGTTTGTTCTAAGAAAGAATTGAACCCAAGACTTTTAAGCCACATCCTATGCAATTACCACTATGCCTATGTACATCGGTGACAAATATTTTTCATGATTTACAATAATATTAAAATATTTTGAATCTAAAACAAGAAATATAAAATTTATACCATGGAGTCTCAAACCCAAACCCATTCAAATTAAATGGTAGTCTTTATTGTAAATATGAAAAGTAATCTAAGAGGGGTCAAATGAATTAGATTAACTGATATCAGTGAATTTTTTTTATTATGAGTGTTACACCACTTTCAAATTAAATGGTAATGACACCCAAGTACCTTCAAATTAAATAGTAGTCACACCACTTTTATGAGAAAAACATTGGAAGAGAATATCATTCTCTGAACAAAGTTGATACAAGTACAACAACTTCATACAAATTTATTATTTAAATTCTGTTTTAAATTTGAATAAGTGACTCTCGTTTAATTTGAAAGGGGTGTAACCTTCATAACCGAGAAAAAATCATTAATATCAAATAATCTAATTCATTCAACCCCTTTTAAATTATTTTTCATATTTACATAAAAATGATTACCACTTAATTTGAAGGGACTTGGGTCTGAGACCCATGACTACAAATTTTATATATTTTTATTATAAATTCAGAATTGTTTAATATTATTATAAATTTGGAGAATTATTTATCACCAATATACGTTGATTTAGTGGTAAAGATATATAATTTAAAAGTAGGGAAAAAATCATAACATTAATATGGAAATTAAATCTCTTTTTTTTTTTTTTGCTGTGAACTAATTTAGTTTTGTAACTTTTGTGAGTGACAAAAATTGATATTCAGTCTTTATTTTATTAGTATTATTTATTTGTCAAAAATTGCAGTGCAAGAGAGCAGGGCATATAAAATATGTAAAACAAGGAGACACAAAACGCCGAAAGACACGCTCAGAGATTCATTCAGCTTCTTCTCATATCGATTTCTGAATCAGTAAGAATATCCTTCATCCTTTTTCTTTTCTTTTCTCTGTCTTATTATTACTATTATTATTATTATCATTATTTATTATCATAAAATAAAATCCTTACGATAATTTTGATTAAACAAATATCTGTTTTCGCGGGTTGTCTCTCACATGCATTGTATTTTCGACATTAGGTTTTCCATTCTCTAACGTTTCTTAATGTTACCAACTCGCTTATTTTCATCATGTCTCAAATGTTGTTCTTAATCTTACCTAGTTTAATTTTATGCTATAGTTTTAATCTACTTTCAGTTTCAGTGTGTTGAGTAATGTGATTAATATTATTAATATGATTCTGGTTTAGATTATAGAAGCAGCAATAAGAATGAATAATAATAATAATCAAGCGAATAATTTTGCCGCATCGGCTTCATCATCGTTGTTTGGTCGTTCTGCAACAACACCACTGTCACATCAGCAGCAGTACCCTAGCCTCATGAACCATCAGCAGCAATGGGCACATCTTCTGTCTAGATCACACCCTCAAGCCCAATTTCATGGTAATTTTCAGTTTGCGGAATCCCAATCCCAATCGCAATCTCAAGCCGCGCTGCAGGCTCATTATGCGCAAATGCAAGCTCAGGCTGCATATGCTTCTTTACAACAATCATCGCAAGTTCAACCTGTTACTCCGTTGCGTAATGCTGGTAATACTAATGTTGCATCGACTCCGGTTACTGGGAGCTCGAAGCGAGGTGTGTCTCAAAGGAATTCTTTGCGGACTCCAGGTTCGTCTGGCGTGAACCAAAATGTGTCGGATAAGACTGAAGATTTGACTCCTGCTTTTCGGCGGAGGAAGAGGGAGTTACCGGAGAAGCAGACGTTGGAGAAAGTGGCTGCGATTCTGCCCGAGTCTGCTCTTTATACTCAATTGCTTGATTTTGAAGCTCAGATTGATGCTGCATTGGCTAAGAAAAAGGTTGATATGCAGGAGGCTATTAGATGCCCTACCCATGTTCGGAAAACTCTTAGAATGTATGTCTTTAATACATTCTCGAATCGCTCAAAACCTGCCTCGGAGGATACAATTGCTGAGGAATCTTCTTGGTCTCTGAAGATAATTGGAAGAGTATTTGAAGATGGTAATGTTCCTGTGTCGCAGAGATTGAGTCCTTCTGACACAAAATTCTCTGATTTCTTCAAGAAAGTTACCATTTGCTTGGATCAGAACCTCTATCCTGAAAACCACATCATTGTGTGGGACAGTGCTCATTCGCCGAAACAACAGGATGGTTTTGAGGTGAAGAGGAAAGGAGACAAAGAATTCACTGCAGTGATCAAAATCGATTTGAAATATTCGCCCGAGAAATTCATGGTCTCGGCACCATTGTCTAAACTTCTAGGGATTGAGGTCGAGAGTCGCCCGAGAATAATAGCTGCTCTTTGGCATTATGTGAAGTCCAGAAGGCTACAATGTCCGGACGAACCTTCGTTCTTCATCTGTGATCCATCCCTCCAAAGGATTTTCGGGGAGGAGAAGATGGGATTCTCCATGGCTGCACAGAAGTTGTTAGACCATATGTCTCAACCAAAGCCTATATATTTGGAGCATAACATCAAGCTGTCTGGAGATTGTCCTGCTGGAACTGCATGTTACGACGTACAGGTTGACGTGCCTATACCACTGCAGAAAGAAATGTCTGCATTTTTGGCTAGCAACAGTGTTGAGAGTCACAAAGAGATTGAAGCTTCTGATGAGATTATTTCCAGTAACCTAAAAAAAATCCAAGAGCATCGTAGAAGACGTGCTTTCTTTCTTAGCTTTAGTCAGTCTCCATCAGAGTTTATCAATACTATGATTGCTTCTAAGAGCAAAGATCCAAAACTTGCTGCTGGAGATGCTGGCTCTAATTCCAACAAGGAACAGCATTCTGAATTTTATAATCAACCATGGTAAGATTTACGTCGATGCTTTACCTTTCGCTTTACCTTGAGGCACGCTAGCATAATACTTTTATTGTTTGGTTATGACCCGGATGTTATTTACTTGCTTGTTGAAGTCTTGAATGTATTGGCATCCTATGAATCATATGCATCAAATATATTTAATTTTGTGTTGTTTTTGATTATATTTTCAGGGCTGAAGATGCTGTCATTCGGTACTTGAACCGCAAAGCTGCTGGAAGAGATGTTCCGGAGGGTAGCTAAAAGAGACTTGTAGATTTCTATAGTTTTTCTTTGTAGTATTGTTTAGGAAGAATATTTGAATACACAACTTTTTTGATACATTTAAATACCCAACTTGAAGAATAGAAGAAAGGAACAAAAGTAGGAACAGAGAATTTTGTGTGGGAATCAAGGTGGCTGAATTACTATGATGGTTATTTATTTGATACCCTACAAAGTTGTTTAGTTTTGGGAAATGGGTACTAGTGAGGTGCAATTGATTAGTTTTTTTTTTTTTTGGTTGTCGAGGAAATCCAACTAATGCATTTCATTCATTATTAAAACTATATACATGTAGGAATATCATATAAAACTTGGGAACTAGCATTATATATGTCCGTCTTAAGAGTCACAGAAGACATTTGAATTGACTAATAATCATCATAGTTAAAGTATGGGTAAACTATGATGCCAACTCCCACCGAGGAGAATCCCCAAATATCATACTACAACTAAAGAAACAAACTCTGGTCTTCCTTGAAAGAAACCAGTAAAGTCTCCTAGGCAAATGCCTAAAAGAAGCATGATGACAATAACTCTCTACGACATTAAATTCCCCTAAATTTAACCATAACATGATACATTATCGACAAGATCAAATGCTCGAATATGCTCAGGTGATGTCCTCCCAAGACCATCATCGCGTCCTAAAACTTAAAGAAAATCCTCCTCAAATTATGGTAGGGTCTTAGTAAAAAAAGCTCTATCATGACAAAATCCCTCCTCTAATTATGGTAGGGTCTAAGTAAAAAAACCACTATCATAACAAAATCCTATTCAGATTACCCAACCACTTCGATCAAGTCATCTTCTTTATGCCAAGGTCAAGAAATAATTCCCCTCATACCATCTTCCCATTGCTAAGAAGTAAGTCACCACTCTTCTTTCACTTAGATTGTTGACTTACAGACAATTGTTTTGGGTTGGGTCCAAGTTCAATCCATCAGAAAATAAGCCCATAACTTAATCCAAAGACCGACCTTCCTCGTCGCCCACCCATAACGCTTATTAGAAGACATGGGCAATTACAAAGGGTCAAACACATAGCAAGGATAGAGTGTTTGTAGACACAAAGAATTTACCAATTTGCAGGTTAGAGTGTTTGTAGACACAAAGATTTGTTTGTTCATTCAATGTCCTAAAAAGCCATTCTTTTCGCACTAATTTTTAGTATTGTCATACTCTCCCCGATTGTCATACACTTGTAAGTTTCTCCATCATATTTGTATGCACATCTTAATTTTTATGAGGAAGCTTCGTATTAAAAAGAAATCAAAGTTACTGATTTTAGTATCATTAGCCACTTTTTGAAACACCAACTCACCGTGTTCCAACTTTATGCTATCCATATAAGTATTAGCTATTTGATGTATTATATTTGTTACCCAACACTTTCTCAAATTTTGTAATTTCTAATATTATACCATTTATTCTTATTAGACATCGAACACAAACATTCAACATTTTATCTCGTATAATATCAATGGTCTTACAACTGTCAGAGTAATTGTTCCTTTTAATTTGATCCATATACTTTCATATTACATAAAACTCTTGAGATCTCTTTCATTTCACCCACCTACCTCAAATTGAACAATTTACTTCTCCTTCTATTTTTCATTGTTTTGTGTTATGGAACCAATACACTTAAACCAAATAATTTGTGGTATGATATAATTTTTAAGTTTCAATTATAAGATAGAAACATTTTTACTTTTGCTAAACTGACATTCAACATACTCTATCTTACTTCTATTTAGAAAAAAATCCATACACATCTGAGACACATTTTTAAGTCTGTGATCTCTCATTTAATCCATTTTGTAACTCTCCAAGTATAACTCTATCATTTACAAAAAATAATATATATACATTTTGATACTAGGTCTTTAACGTAATCCATAAATACATCCAAAAACTAAAGAAAAAAGGTAAAAGCTTATGATTGAAACTTCGTGCAGCCTCAATGTTATTGTAAAATTGTTTGTCTCTTCGCTCCATATCCCCACGCTAGTCCACACCCCTTCATAATATTTATGACAAGTCAAATATATGCAATCTCAACCACGTTCTTCTCTAAAGTTGTCTAAAAAATCTCTCTAGAAACTTTACCAAACGTCTTTTTCCAAATCAATGAAAACTAAGTGTATGTCTTATTGATCCATCCAATACTACTCCATCACACGTAGCAAATAGACCCCTTCCAAGATTAATCTCCAAGCATAAAACCAACTTGATTATCAATAACTTAAGTATTTTTTCTTAGTTCTCGTTCAGTCACTATTTCACATAACTTCATGGTACGACTCATAAATTTAATCCTTCTATAATTTGCACAATTTTATATATCACTCTTATTCTTATAGATCAAATTTAAGGTGTTTCTTATCCATTCATCATTGACCTCATAAATTCATTGAAAATTTATAAATCACTCACTCAATACCTCTATCTCTAAAACTTTTTCGCACTTGAATAGTATTTACCTAGCTCAACCACATTACTATTATTCATCATTTTCTTTTACCTCGTATTTTGAATTTAACTTTTAATCCTCTTTTCTAATGTTTAGCATATTAGAGTCTAATAAAACCTCATCCTACATTAAAATAATTTGTAAAATTAATTCGTTCATCTATCTTTATATCCTTTTTCTAAATCCAAATTTTGTTTTCTCTATCTTTTAACAGATTCCACTTTCAAATATCTTATTCAAGCAACAACACACTCTTCACAAAGAAGAGAAAAATAGTCCTTCCCCTTTTTTGTACAATAGACACATAAGTACAATAGACTTATAAATATTTTATGAATAATAATTTTTAACTTTTGCATACAAACTCCTAAAAAAACTCTTTCTTATAAAATTACTGGGAACTTACTATACTTAATTCTATAGTACTAGTACTATAGGAACAAACCAACGGGTACCGGAACTCTATACCCTGTACGTACCAAGTTCTTTGCATATGTCGTTCTGCAATCCTTATCACGTGTCTAAGCGAATTGTAAATTATGTGACTTTGATTATGCCTACATAACTGTTTTTTCAATGAATTAAAAACAAAAAATGGTTGAAAAGAAAGGAAATATCATTTTCATTAAGCAGAAAGGTTATCAATAATTACATAATCTTCCATTGTTTAGAATGGTCAGCAGGGTCACCCCAAGCAATGTACTACATTGGGCCACTGAACAAATAAGAAGAGTAATTCTACATTTCTCACATTGTATTTTCTCTCTTTGTATTTACACTTAAAAGGGCATTGGAATTTTCTCATCCAAAAAGCGTGACTATAGCAGTAAGCAACATGGGTGATCTGGTTAGTTGTTGCTTTAAACGGAATGATACTGTACTATTCTCAGGTTTGTCATCTGAGTCCATCTAGTATACCTGACAAAACAATGCAAATTCCCAAACTCAGATCAATTGAAACAACATAAACTGTGAGATCATGGCATATGTTTTAAACGTCCCCAAGCTATAAAGACCCTGGGGTGCAAATCTCAACAAAGAAATTTCGTTTATTTTTGGTGAACAGGCCCAAAGGGGTCATAACTCATCAGTAAACAGTGATCAGTGGCTCGTGCGGTTTACACTGGTTTGCATCAGATTATTTCGTTCAATGGCCATGTTGTAGTTATGGTAGAGTACAATGGTTCAAAAATAATAGATTTAAATATGTGCTGAAATTTATGAAGAATATTTTAGCAATGATATTTGTGGTTAACTTTACATTATAATTTTCTACCTCTTCTAAATTCTGATAAAGCAAGGCATTTGGCTTTTAAGAAGAAGCGTTAAAAATTTGAGTTATCAAAGCACCAATTTGTCTCCTTTGTAAGCATACACCAACATAACAAGCATCCATTTATTTATAGGATAAACCCATGAAACAACTGCAATTGAACTGCGGTAAGTTTTTGATCAGTCATATAACGTGCTTAGGTTAAAATCTCAAAAGCAGGTTACTTCTGGCCGTTAAACTTGACCAATTTTGTACACTAAATAGCATACTGTGTAAAAGTTAAAAGCAGCGGGTAATAATTTAGTTAAGCATACCATTCTTTATGCGATATTTTCTGTGGAACTCTATTGCTTTCCCGTACTAATTCCTTCTGGTACCTCATCCTGACAGAGTATGATAAGCACATTAATCATAGAGTCAATATAAGTGTAATATTTCCATTCCAATTCAATCGAGAAAACAAAAGTAGCACAGTATATACCATGGTTGAAAACAGGTCTCTAATATTGTTCATGGCTTTTAGCATCATCTCTAGAGAATCTGTAGCCAACTGGAACTTCACGTCCAGCTCTCCCGAGTGAAATTGAGCATCATTTTGAAGCTGAAAAGTGCAAAGTTAAAACTATACAAACATATAAACCATATAATCATTTATCACACAATGCATATATACATAACAATAAGGTCAAGACCACTTTATTGACGCGCACATCCGTTGCATCTCATTTGCTTCAAGAACATAAAATACACGACAAAAAGGGTACTGAAGGAAAGCACCACTACCCCCTATACTGAAGTTCAAGAGGCTATGTTTACCTTCAAATTAATAACAGCTGCAGGATCTGACGATTCCGTATCCTGATTCGCCATATCCCATGTCATTTCCTTTAATCGAGGCACGATATTCTGACTACTTGCACTCTAAATATAGTGTCAGATCAAAGCCTCCAAAGGATGTCAGGAGCAAAATGTGCAGCAAAATAGGTGACCATACCTGATCTTTCAGCCCGTCTTCTTGCCACTAGCCGAAACTTCTGCAACAGAAGTGTCAATAGTTTTTGCAATTCAGGTAGAACTTCCCCAGGAAACAACTTTGGAATATCATCCTTGCAGGTGTTTTCATAAACGTATCTCCTGATTAACATTCTAAGGCAAACCAGAAGCTGTAGATAAAGTTAGTACCAGAAGAATCCAAAACCATCTAAGCAAAACTACGGCTATCCCGAACACAACACCGACACCAATAATAATTTTAAAAAAATAAATAAATTAAACATAATTACAAGTGCGGGTCACAGACAGTCATGATAACATACAATGAAATTGAGAGAAAGGGACAGTACTGGATCGAGGTCAGAGTCATTTTCTAGTTGAAGCATATCTTGGATAATGCATCTATCAGCAGATTGAAGACCGGTTTTTCTGGTTCTCCATAGGGCTTGAAGAATGAATTCAATAGAGTCTTTGGAATTGGCCCTTAACAATACTGGCAAATGGCCCCACAGCGTTTGCTCCATACTGAAAAACTCTAGAGAGAGAGAGAGAGAGGAATACCTAATTTCGATGAACAACGACGGCAACATAAGCTTCGAGAAAAAGAAAAACACTAATCTAAAATCTGAAATTACGATTTAGTCCCTACAAAACCATTCAAAACGACGCGCGCTGAACTCAATTCAATTCTGTTACGATTTTCTCTCGGGAGATTTCGACTGTGCTACCCATGGCGCCGCACGATCTCCGCCGTCCGTTCAAACGACCTTTGATCTCCGATCAAGAGAGGCGCAGACAACAGTCTCTACTTCGCCAGGCACAGAATCGCCTCGACGCTCAGCGTCAGGCTCGCTTCTTAGCCTCCACCGCATTCTCTCTCTCATCCCAGACCCCCGAACCCGAACCCGAACCCGTGAGCGAACCGGAGCCATATCAGAAAGAGGAACTCGACGTGTTGGAGGCATCGAAGCTGAAAGGTGCAGAAGCTCGGAAATGGTTCGCGAAACAACTCATGCTTCCTGAATGGATGATCGATATCCCTGAAAATCTCGCAAATAATTGGTCCTTTTCTTTTCTCAAGTTCTTCTTCACAGCTTGTTCTTCACTCAAATTCAGTTTTTATTTATTTTGAATTTTTTATTTTCAGGTTTGTTTTTGCAAGGCCGTCTGGTAAACGGTGTTTTGTGGTTTCCAGTAACGGAACAACTATAAGCCGTTTGAGAAACGGTTCAATACTTCACCGTTTTCCTTCTAAATTGCCCAACGGGGCGAGGACAAAAGAAGTTTCATCTGCATCTAATTCTTACTCTATACTTGACTGCATTTTCCACGAGGTTACTACTTTTCCTTCTTAAGTGTCCTATTCTTTTCGTTAATTTGCATGTTTAGTATCCTAGAAGTTATTTGTTAGGTGACTAGTTTGTGTTTTTTTGGAATAACAGCAAGATCAAACTTACTACGTTATTGATATGGTTTGTTGGCGTGGCTACTCCCTTTATGATTGTACTTCTGAGTTCAGGTTCTTTTGGGTGAACTCCAAGCTTGCTGAGACTGGGGCTTGTGACTCTCCTTCGTATTATCATAAGTATAAGTTCAGTTTAGTTCCGGTGTATGGTTGTGATCAGAGTGGTTTGTGTTCAGCTTACTCCGCGCCCGTGCCTTATGTCAAAGACGGTCTTCTATTCTATAACAAGTATTAATTCTTTTCTCTTTCTATGTAAACCAATCTATGAATGCAATGCCAACCTTTTTGAAATTTAAATCATGCCAATCTTTTCATGGATAGCTTTTCATTATTGTTGAGAATGAAAATCTTGTCACCTAGTATTCTTAATCTTTCATAAATATCACGTGATAAATAATTTATGGCTCTTATTTTGTGTAATTTCTTTTGATTTGTTGTTATTATCGTTACTTTTTCCCCTTAGGCATGCACATTACCAGGCTGGGAATACACCATTAGCATTAGTTTGGAAGGATGAGAACTGCAGTCAATATGTTATGGACACTGACAGTCAAGGACAGGTTCCTAACCAACAACAGGTGTTTCTCCTTGATTCCCTTGCATTATCTCATTGCTTTGTTTTTCATGCCACTTTATCACTGTGTGTATATTTCAATCATATGATTTTGCTGATTTCTAGACTTTGTCGATTGAACGCTGCATCATGTACGAGTACGAATCATTGGGAATAAGACTCCCTTGTCAGACATTTTATGCCTCGATTTTACTTTATGTACATTGAATTGAACTATTTCTTTCTATAAGAACACCAAGCAATTAGGGTTTTAAGGCTGCACAGCTCCTAGTCCCATGGCAATACCAGTTTCCCTTTTCATTATTAATTACAGAAACATTACCTTGTTTTTTGTTTGATTTCTTGTTTTTGTATATAAAACAAAATAAAAACAATGTGTAAATTTTGTAATGAAAAGTGATAATAAGAAATGAAAACAAAAAATATTTTCTCAAACTGAACAGACCCTTAGAAGTTAGATCTTAATATGCAATTGACCTTCTCCAAACCCACCTTTCAGTGGAGAAAGCCAGTTGGACTTGTCTCCCCTCTCTCTGTGTTAGTGTGTGACTCACTACAACTTTAAAGAGGCCCCAAGTCCACCAGTTTATTCATGTTTCAATTACTTCCATATATTTATTTATAGTTATACATTTTTACTTGAGCATTACAGATACACTGCTATACCGATGTTCATTAATCGATTTTCTGGATTTCCAAACCAGATGGTTTTGGAGCTTCAAGAAGATGGAAAACTGACTACTTGTGATGATCCTCATGTGGTGTTTGGCTGTTTGGACGGAAGTTTCATCCAGCAGGTTTGTTTGAAAGAGGTTTCTATACAGTTGTTAATTTTTTTCTGATGCTTAATCTAGTTGAGGCACACACAATCAAAACTTTACACCACATATATATTGAAGTTGTATCGAGCTGCGCGCTGCCAAAGTTTTTGGGCTGTTGGATGTATATATATATGTGTTTGGGCAGGCAACTATCTTAGGAGCTAGTTTTTGAAAGTGAGGTCCAAGCCCATTTAACAGTATAATCTTACACATATTTTAGGAAATTGATGTACTTAACTGAGAAATAGTAATTCTTGCTGGGATGTATGATAGACTTTCAGTTATGAAATGTAACAATAAACAAGTTTGCATCTTATGCATCAAAATCACTTTTTTAATTTATCTGTTACGAAGTAATCTAAAGTAACTTTCTCAATTTGCAGTCAGATTTGCATTCTGGGTATCTTCTACGGTTTGCGATTGGAGAAGGGGGATTGATTTTGGTGGATGGGAAACTTGAGAAGGCTGATCTAAAGTATCTTGGCAAGGCCAATCGAGCCCGTGCCTCTGCTGATAGTTTCTCTAAGGTTGTAAGGGAATATTAAAGTAAACCCTAAAAGTATTTGCAACCTGTTAACACAAGTCTGCCATGATTCCTTTATTTTTCACCGCTGCATGCTAAATTTTAGCTTGAAGCCTTAAAAGAAAATGAGAGTTTTCTGAGAATGATAATTAGAATTCATCTTCCTTATTCATTTGCTAATATTTTAACGCTACGGAGATTGTGTATATTGTTTTGTTTTTAATCTGATTTACTGTTTGTCTGAAGAAGGCTTCCTAAAACCATCATAGATTCACACTGTTTTCTTCAATAATCATCATTGGTGGTTTTAATTATAATCATGCTGTAATTTTGCACTTACAGGTTATGTTCCAATATAGTGTTCGACATTCCCCCCTCAGAATTGATGATCTGTTGGGATCTGTCAGCTCGCCAGTAGATCACGAAAGTAAAGCATGCGACATCGAGATGGATGGTTGATGGGAAATGCTCTAGGGATTGCAAATGTCAGCCTTGATCCTGAATGCAATGTTTGAAGTTTTCACCTTAGTTTGTGGCTCCCTTTGATGCTTATTCCATGAAGCCTTCCTTAATTTATAGAGGATCCACAAAATTGCTAGCCACCAGTCTACCACACATGCTGAAACAGAGCTGTATCGATTGAAGTTTTGCTTTGCCTCTGGAGTTTCTTTAACCCATATGGAGAGCAGGTGCACACGTGCACATTATCTATCTTGTGTTTGATTCTGTGTGATGCTGATAGCATGATAGTGTGAGACTGTCTTAATTTTATAATTGCGAGCAATTTAGTATACAGTCTATCGCACATTATTGTAAATTCAAAGTTATATGTCCTAAGTTATGTGCTGGATTTCCTTTTTCTTTCAGTAAAGAAGCGTTGCTTCTTTAAAATGATCCTGTAACTAATGAAGAATTTATTGGTGTATTTCTTAAATCCTTTTGGAATATTTCTACCTTGCATTTTTTCATTGTCTTCACAATTACCAAAGCCAACTTATGAAATGTGGTGTCTTTATTGTTACTAAGAAATTGCATTTTCATGTTAATATCGTTAAAATCGAAGAATAAACTCCTAATATTTATCATTAAGAGTAGAATTTATTATTAAGACTTTTTTTGACTAAGTTATTTATTATTAGGATAGAATTAGCAAATCATATCAATCAGTATTTATTCTATATGCTATTATATATAGATGTGAATGTAGTTTGACTTAGACACACATAATCACAAATTCAACATGACATCTAGAGTTTGATTCAATCCTCCTTGAACTGTCTCGCCACTATTTTGCTATGGAGTTCTCAAAAATGGTTGGGAATATAATAATTGTTTTCTCTTTTTGGTCATGGCTTGAAATCACAGGTGGTGCTGTGGTGAAGTCTGACAAGTGACTTCCCCCTCCACCAACAACCACATGAATTGTTCCATTCACAGTTCCAGAGTAATGAGATTTTTCCTTATTCACGCATTGGTTCTGCATCATACACATTTGGATGATTAGAAATGAATGTTGGTGAATTTACAATGAAGAAAACAACTATAATAATGAAGTACTCATTAGTGCAACTTGGTGTAATTGAAATGGTACAATAATATTTATACCTGATAAATGGGGCAGACTCTTTCATAGTTATGGACATGACCATAAAATGCAATGTCTACTTTGTACTTTTGCCAACGCCCCTGCAAGCTTTCCCTTCCCATGGGCTCTTCAAATGAGCCCTCCCCGGCATACCAAGCATTAGAGGAGTAACCTAGGGGGCGATGTGCTGAAAAGATTAACCATGGTTGTTGTTTTCTATCTACTGTTGCGAGGCAATGCTCAATGAATTTGTGTTGTTCTGATCCTTCTCTCCAGTCATGCTCACTGTCTGCTATACAGAAACGAAACATGCCATAATCTGTTGCATACCAGAATTTGGCTTTGTTCTCAGCAGGGTAATATTACATGGTTTCTGCAGGAACTCCGCATTCGCCACCTGAATCCCGAGTGTCAAAAAAGGATCGTGTGTTTGGCCAATCACGTTCATGATTTCGACTGCAATATGAATAAATATATGGTAAATTATATATATATATATATATATATATATATATATATATATATATATATATATATATATATATATATATATATATATATATATATATATATATATATATATATATATATATATATATATATATATATATATATATATATATATATATATATATATATATATATATATATATATATATATATATATATATATATATATATATATGTGGGTGTGTGTGCGTTGACTTTTCCATACACCCACCCACACACACACACACACACATATTTGACCAAAAATCTTAAAATTCAAAGTTTGACTTTGAGTAGTTGACTTTTTCAGATGAATTCAAATCTACTAATTTCAATGAAATCTTGTGATCATGATGCAATCTTTGTTACATTGGGACATCTTGAGGACTGTGAGATGATGATATTGAGGACCTCTTAAGTGATGTACATTGGAGTTCAACCTTTAAAACCCTAATTTCTGACTTTTCAATTGAGGGTGTAAAAACCCTAATTATCTTCAAGCACTTGATGAATTTATGATGAAACCTAATGTGATGAGATTGCAATAAGGATGATGATCCCTTTAAATTGGGAAAACCTAAAGCACAAGCAACATGTGATTGAAACTCCCTTATGATAAATGACAATGACACATTTCAAGGTCAACTTTTGTGAGATAGTCAGATGGATCAAATGATATATATGATTTATTAAAGCTAGATGTCTTATATGATGATGCATATGATGTGGGATCTTAGATAAAAAATTAGGGTACAACACATCCAAAATGAGGTTTGGTAGTGTAATTGGAAGGTCTGATAATGGTTCCGATAGAAGAGTTACATTCATGGAAATGAGATGCGAAAGAAGTGGAAAATACATAACTCATTTCTAAAAATTTAAATGAGATGACATCAGTTAGAGGAAATGTGATTGTCCCTTTAAGTTTAGTGACTATCTTTTGGCAAATACAAAATGGAGATCTAATATGATTTGTGGTTTGCATAACCATGACATGTGTGACAAGTTAGTCGATCATCCCATTGCATGTCACCTTATGCTAGAAGAGAAGGAAAATGTTTTAAACATGACGTTGAATATGGTGCATTCCAAAAACATACTTGCAACTTTGAAACGTAAAAGACTCAAATACCTCAAATATCAAACAAATATACAATATTTGTGTCCTTAACAACAAGTTGCTAAGGGGGGATATAACTGAAACACAACAATTGAAACTTTTGGATGATAACAATTACAAATCTAAGTATCAAATGTGCGAGGATGGAGTAATCGTTCAAGATATATTTTAGACTCATCCTGATTCCACAAAGCTGTTCATCTTGTTTTCTATTGTACTCATCATTGATTCAATGTCTAAGACCAACAAGTACATGTTTCCACTATTGGAAATTGTTGGTGTTACCTTTACAGAGAAGACTTATTATGTCATATTTGCATTTATAATGAGTGAAAAAGAGGAAAACGTTACTTGGGCTTTAGAAGTGTATCAGACAATGTTGAAGGATAAAGAAGACACATTGAAAGTCATTGTCACCGACCGTGATACCACATTGATGAATTCGGCTGCAAAAGTTTCCTACTTCATACACATTACTCTTTAGGTATCACATCACAAAGAATGAACTCACATTAGCAAACGACTCCCTTTACTGCCTCTAGCAAAAATCCAATTCATCGACAAATACATTGAATGAATATTCAATGTTAAGGGTGATTGTGTAACACCCTAAACCCCGAAACTTATATATAAAGCATTACACGACAATTTAAGGTGTCAACAATGATAATCCTTTAAGAACACATAAGCATTTAGCAACCCACAATGGAAAATTAAAATATCAAACAACACTTGTCATCATACGCTCGCCATAACTTAGGCTCATTGTGGTGGAATACTTAATAAGACACGACATACAATTACTCATGTCATCACGTGCTCACCTTCACTTAGGGTATCATTGCAACGAAATAATAAACGGATAATGAAACATAAAAACTTTCAACTTTAGTCTCATAAAACATAACTTTCATAAATCAAATGAAACAAAATTGTAATACTCAACTCTCAACAATCTCCAAACGATTCAACAAATCAAACATTAATCCACAACAAGGTAGAATAATCACTTTTGTGATACGGTGGCAGAACTGACTATTAATACTGGTTTTGCATTTGTGTTTGCAAAATATTGCGGTAAGCAAGAGTCGCCACCGACTTTTCTTTTATCCAAATTAAGGAAAGGGTGAAAAGAACAGAAAAAGACCTTTTCAAGAATTTTCTGAGTAAGGGGGTAGATTATGGAAAGGGAAGGTGTTAGCACCCTTTCCATCCGTAGTTTTCTACGAGCTCTTAGATGCTAGCTCATGTTTTGAAAATTGCTTGTGCTTTGTGTGTTTTGAAAATTTGTTTTGAAAATGCCTTAGTGCGACGATTTGCTTTGTGATAATTCTTGTATCAGTCCTCAAGAGTGTTGATAAAGCAAATGTCTTTGAAAGTTATTTTTGAAATGCGTAAGTGTGAAAAGTTTATTTTATTTGAGCAAGTATCTAACAACTATCTACTTGGACTCGAAAAGGTAGTTCTTTTTCCACCTGCTGACAGTAATGGTGCTGATATGCAGGCTTGCAAAGAGAATGCCCTGGGAATCTTCTATATATCAGAGATGTATCATGCAATGTGTGGTTTCGACAACGACGAGAAAAATGGTGCTTGGAGGGATATTTGGAGATTGAAAGTTCCTGAGCGAGTTAGAACGTTTGTCTGGAGTGTTAAACACAGAAGAGTGTTGACAAAGGATCGAAAGCATCAAATGGAGCAAGGATCCGGTCGTTGAGGCTACTGTCAGGTCTGTCCGGAAACGACTCTCCATGTTTTGTGTGACTGTTATCTTATCAGGCCTCTATGAATGAGTGTGGTGAATGTTAATAAAAGGTACAAATTTTTTACTTGCAGTTTAAAGGAGTGGATTGATATGAATATGGATCATAAACGGGGAAGGAATTCAAATGAAGATTAAAGCAGTTTTTGGGCTATGGCTTGCCACTTAGTTTGAAATTGGAGAAACAAGGAGAAGCATGAGGAAGTCTTCCTTCGACCAATTAAGCAAGCTGATTTTGTTAGACAAATATTACAATGTTTTAGGTTGGCTGATAAAATCATGCAGTCGGGGAATATGGATCAGCAAGTCATAATGCATGTTTGTTGGACTCCACCTAGTGTTGGATGAGTTTGCTTGAATATTGATGGAGTTTGTAGGGATGGAGTTATTGGATGTGGTGGTGCTATTAAGGAAGTGATGGAGAATGGTTAATAGGTTTTTCAAAATTTATTGGTAGTGGGGATGCATATACAGTAGAATTATGGGGTTTGCTCGAAGGGCTTAATTTGGCTAGATGGATGAACTTCTCTAACGTTGAGGTGAGAGTGGACTCTATTGGAGTTGTTAATGATATTATGGACAAAAAGAATAGTATGCTCTGTGGCAGGGCTATTGTTAATAAGATTAGTAGATTGTCAATCACTATTCTCGTAAAGCTAATCAACTGACAGATGCTCTAGTTAGACATAGTTACTCTTTGAGAAAGATGTTCTGTTTGTTTGGGGATTGTCCGAATGATTTTAAGCACCTCTTGATTGCTGATGAGAAGGGGATTGGCATACCTAGGAATGTTTTCGTGTAGTTTTCTTTCTTCCGAACGTTAGCCCTCATTGTATTAAAAAAGAAAAGATTAATAGAGGGTTTAAATATAAAAATGGTAGTTATTAAAATACTTATAATAATAAATAAAAGTAGATTAAGATATGAAAAGATACCAAGTCACGATTTATTTATTTCAAAATGTCTTATTTCATTTCAAGGACTACATCAGCTCTAATGTAGACACATAACTCAGGTTGCCAAGGTGGTTTTCTCACAACCATCACGCACACAAGCTAAGACATCTCTATAGTCCCTAGAAATGGTAAAAGAGTCATACACCTTTCCATCACTACTTTTCTTATACTCAAACAACAGATATGAGTGATTGAATGCTGTTAGTTTGCCAAAACCATAGTCTCTATCCCTGAAAATACTCCAAACTGGAGGTGATGCAGTGAAGTCTGATAAATGACTCCCCCCTCCACCAACAACCACATGAATTGTTCCATTCACAGTGCCAGAATAATGATATTTTTCCTTATTCACACATTGGTTCTGATAAATGGGGCAGACTCTTTCATAGTTATGGACATGACCATAAAATGCAATGTCTACTTTGTACTTCTGCCATAGCCCTTGCAAACTTTCCCTTCCCATGGGCTCTTCAAATGACCCTTCCATGGCATACCAAGAGTTAGAAGAGTAACCGAGGGGGCGATGTGCTGCAAAGATTAACCATGGTTGTTGTTTTCGATCTACAGTTGCAAGACAATTCTCAATGAATTTGTATTGTTCTGATCCTTCTCTCCAGTCATGCTCACTGTCTGCTATACAGAAACGAAACATGCCGTAATCTGTTGCATACCAGAATTTGGCTTTGTTCTCAGCAGGGTAATAGTACATGGTTTCTGCAGGAACTCCACATTCTCCACCAGAATCCGGAGTGTTGAAGAATGATCCAGTGTTTGGCCAATCACGTTCATGATTTCCACTGCATTATGAATAAACGTTACTAAACTCAAATGTCAATGGAAAAAATGGGTTCAAGCACAAACAAACCTTGCTATCATATATGGAACTGTTGAAGAAATTTCTTGCACTTGAGCTGTGAACTGGTCCCACTGTGAGATGTATCCATTTGCATATGGAAGATCTCCTATGTGGAAAACAATGTCAAAGTTGTCTAAATCCTTGATGAGTTGGTCTGTGGTGTTAAGGGAACCTGGTTGATAATCAGCATATTCGTTTGAACCATCACGCTCAGCCTAAAGAACATGCAAAACGAGAATAAATATTTTTCTCCAATCTCTCAATTGTAGTATTAAGCATGCTTCATACTTTAAATATTCAATGCTACCTTTCCCATGTCACCAAATATGATTACACGTTGCAATGATTTTTGTCCAGGATATGGAGATCCCTTGAATGAATACCTCTTGCTCCATACATAAGAACCGTCAGACAAAAAATGTCCCAACCTATAGGTGTACCTGATGGAAAAACAAGAGAGGTTGCTAAGCTTTAAGAATAAACTCTACCAACCATTTTTAGTGACATAAACTTTAAATCTAGATCTAGGGTTCTATCAAGGACAAACACAAAACTAAATTCAACTAAAGAAAGACATAAAATTTGTGATAATTCTCTAACTTCTCCATTCAACAGCAATTGTTTAAATACAACACCCACATAAAACCTTAATGGGTCTAAGATATGAGCCAGACCCACTTGAAGAAAATACAATTAAACATAATAATCCAAATACTATTTAATTGAGAATGAAATCTTTTAAATGCTTGGGCCTGGATGTAATTCTTGTGGACCTTGTATCAGATACATACCTCGTATTTGGCCAAAGTTCTTTAAGGAAACTTGTGTGTATAAAACCAGGATCGCGCCAGCCCACGGTTCGTGCAGGTTCACCTACAGATCAACAAATTGTCCTCATTATGCTTCCTAACGTAACATTGTCTGTTCCATTAAATTGTTAAAATTTTCATGTATAAACTAGAAAATGTATTAACACTTACCACACATGCTGTTACGATTAAATGTCAATGTTCCTGCAGCTGATTGTATCTGTCTTCCTCCCTTTGGACCCCATTCCACAAAGGGTACAGCTTCATCTATGTCATATCCACTTGTCCAGGTAACTGTCATCTGTCATAGATGAAAAAATTTCTTAAAATCATGTTATGTTAGACAATTCATACAGCAATTTCAGAAGCAAGTAGATAAACTTACTTCATTCCAAGATTTGCCATGAGCTAGTCGGGGATACACAGGCGCTTTAGGATTTGCAAATGCGACGGAGTTGCTGGAAACTGCCACAAGTTGAGGCTGCAATGTTCAATCATATAAATACTAGTTAGATGAATAAAACATAATTTAGCTAGAAATTTTTTTACAAGATATAACAACTTACATTGGATAATCCACCTGAAAATAATGCAAAGGAAAAATCTGAACGTTGATTGATCAATCGGAACTTCAAAGTAGTTTTTCCTGTCTTTTTGTAGTTTGGATTTGAATGGTTGGCATACTTATACTGTTACATATTATATTCAAATTATTAGTATAAAGAAACTTGAGAAATTTATTATTGATATGTTGTTCATTCATGTGCATTACCTTTATTGGGGCTGTGCATATATATGGAGTTTCTACCCATCCAATACCACCTGGGTTGGGTGCACATGTTGATGAACTGTAACATATGAAAAATATATCACATGAATTAGGTTTTAAATAACAGTCGTGTAAAGACTTTCACAATTTTGATAAGTAAAGATACTAATTGCGATTGCGTTGGTGTGTATTAACCGCAATTTTCGATTATTTAAAACATCAAAGTTAATATTAGTAAAAAGAAATATTATATGAATGAATGTTACTTTAAGTTTCCTGGAGAGAAAACTCCAACCCAATCATCAATGGCTGGTTCAGGGGACACAAGCTCTACTGTCACCCATTCTGCATCCTCACCCTACAATAATCATATAGGAATATAATTACTAATTTTATTTAATGAAAATATTTAAAATTAACAAATATAATTAACAACATGTGATACACGCCGTTTTTTGTTTGTTTCACAATGAATATATTGTGACCAACCAATTAAAATGAGTCGCACACAAAAATTATTGCACGTGTAAAAAAAACTGGCAATTCAGCAAACTAGTACTAAAATTATTCTGTCCTATCATGTCCTCTTTTTGGCAGAAATAAATAACCTTGGAAAAATATATATTACAAAAAATAGAAATAATCAACTTTTTTTTTATATATTTCATTTATTTATCACATGATCCATCTCCCTTTCACTTTCACAGATAAATATCGTGATTCTATTTTATTTTAAGATCTCATAATTGTGACTTGTGAGAGTGTCGTTTCCCATAATGTATTAACACGTCATCATATTATAAAATATTACAACCAGGTGGTATAGGGTAACTATCAAATTTCTTTGACAATTAAAAAATAAAAAATAATCTGTGAATTATTTTGAATAACATCAATATCATCTGGTTGAATAAGAGATGCCGATATACATGCATATTCGAATTTATATTTCACTTATTTATTTTTAAAGAGTAAAATTATAATAATTAGATTATTTGAAAAAAAAAACTAAATTTTAACTTTTAAAATTATAAATCTTTCAGGAGTGACTATTCATCAATAAAGTGTCGGGGCTTGAAGGTGGGCATGATGAATTACAACATGGTTTCAAATTTTGCCTAATAAAATTACGGGTAAATAAATATGATCGTATAATATATTTATTGATTCTATGTTTTAAAAAACGTCCGTGACTAAAAAAAACAGCTGTGACATGGAGAGAGTGTCTTTATGCAGTTTATCGATTTCAAGAGGTGATGAAAGACAACCGCAATCAGTAACACGACACTTATATCAATTGAAATTGTGAAAATTTTTATGCGACTATGACCGTATTTTAAAAGTTTGAACAATCCTAACCAGCTTAGAGCTTGTTTAGTGTATAAGTCAAACCAAGGGGAGTAGTTGAGCAAAAAGTTAAAGTAGATATATCAAGAGGTGAAAACCTAGGAAGGAATCCAGATATCCCCACCACCAAGGACTATAAGGACAAAAATCAAATAGATATGAAGAGAATACTTATAGCAATATGTTAAAATTGATTTTATACCTTATTTCCAAGCAGAAAAGGGGAAGCTGTAATAGAGGCAGAAGTGTGGAGTGCAAGAATGGTTTTGTGAATGGCAATCTTTGAAAGTGGCTGCTCTCCAATATCACCCAAACTCATCCTTAAGTTCATCAAGAAGAAGCACAATATTACCAAGTTCATTTTTATACCTAGCATTTTTTTTTTAAATAACAAATTACGAGCTTGTTAGGTGAAAACAAAAGTTCTATCTCTCTTTTAATATGAAGTTTAATTAATTAGAATGGAGAGTTTGGGAATTTGACTCCCCCTCCTCTCTCTCTCTCTCTAGCTATGCTTCACTCTCTCACTCAGAGAGGTTCTTATGATCATAACCATGGAGGGGAAGAGAATATATATAGAAAATGGGGTAAGAGTAGGTATGGCTGGATTCATGTCAATTAACTACTCTCAGAAATTAAATAATTATGATTAATAACTTGTGGCCGAGTATAAAATGTATATTTGTAGTGTGTGTCGATGTATATCAAAATTTTAATGATATAAAATAAAAATATAGCACATGTATGCATTAATACTATCTCCCGAAAACACTCCCACTTGGCCGGCGGCAGATTTTGAAAGTAATATAATATAAGTTGAGAATTCTTATCTACTCAACTTTAAAAATTAAATAAAGTTATTTAAGTGTAAAATATTTTAAAAACAATAAATAATTAATGTTTAATAAATAATTAAATATATTAAAATTAAATATTATCATATGATTGATTGGAGATATAGTAGTAATTTTTGTGATGAATAGAAAAATAATCATCTAATAAATATAATATAATACAATACAAGGAGAGATATTGTTTTCATTTGTTCCAAATTGCCATGCTTTTTTATTTTTAATATATTTTAAGCCAGGAAGATTTGAACCATGGATCTCCTACTTAAAATATACATGTTAAAGTATACATGCCTCTCCACATCAATTGTATATTTTAAAAAATACTTGCAATGAATTGTATATAATGGATATTAAGAGCGAATATTTGATATAATAATGTTAAGTTTTGTTTATAATGTTAAATATAATTTAAAATACAATAATGGAGATGTTAAGTTTTTTTTTCTTCCTTTTGGCGGCGGAAGAGTGGTATGTTTTGATGGATGTGATGGTAAATTTTAATCTTTTTTCGAGTTATTCTATACGATCGAAAGTTATAAAAGTCATTTTTTATCTCCAGTTTACAGATGACACTCTGTTCATGGAGGTGAAGAGTTAGGCTAATGTCAGGACCTTGAGAGTTGTTCTAGTGTTGTTTGAAGTTATGTCGGGTTTGAAAGTTAATTTTCATAAAAGTATGTTGGTATGTCTTAACATATCTGAGTCTTGGTTGAATGAGGCAGTCTCGGTGTTACATTGTAGAATTGGGAGGGTGTCCTTCTTGTACTTGGGCCTTCCGATTGGTGGAGATTCTAGAAGATTGGCTTTTTGGGGACCCATGGTGGAGCGTATTGAATCTAGGTTGTCTGGATGGAAGAGTCGATATTTATCGCTTGAGGGAGGTTTAATCCTCTTGAAGTCTGTCTTGGATTCTATGCTTATCTATGCCTATCTATGCCCTATCTTTCTTCAAAACTCCCGCATGTATTATCAGTACTCTAGATTCTATTTTTCAGAATTTCTTCTGGGGAGGATGTGACACTCATAAGAAAACTATTTGGGTTGATTGGACGACTATTTCTAAAAACAAGGAGTGTGGTGGTCTGGGGTGAGAAGGCTAAAAGAGTTTAATATCACTTTGTTAGGAAAGTGGTGTTGGAGGATACTTGTTGAGAGGGAGGCGTTGCAGATGAAGGTGTTTGAGGCTCGATATAGTGTGGAAGCAGGGCGAGTGTCATCAGGTGGAAGGTGTTGTTCTAATTGGTAGAGGGAAGTGGGTCGGGTTCAAGATGGTATGTGTTTAGAGGAAGGAAGTTGGTTTAATGAGAATATGTGTAGGCATGCGGGTAATGGTGTTCATACTCTCTTTTGGAATGATACTTGGGTAGGAGAGGCGCCTTTATGTGGGAGATTCAGTCATCTTTACCAGTTGTCTGAGTTTAAAATGGAGTCGATAGCGAACATGTTTCTCCTAGGGTGGGGACCAAGGGGTGGTACTTGGAGATGACGACGGAGGTTGTAACGTCCAATATTTAATTATTTATTTAATTAAATATTTTTAAATATTTTTCCGATTAAATTTTCAAAGTTGTGAAATGTTGATTTAAGTTGTGTCGTTCTTAGTTGAATTAATTAGTTGATTAAGTTGTAGGATTAATATTAAATAATACTATTATTATTTATGTGGGCTTATTTTAATGTTAGAAGTAGTAGAAAGGGAGGTGTAGAAATTTAAGTCCAACAAAGCAAAATAAGAATAATAGTATAGTAGTTATATTATAATATATGTTTAGAAATAATAGAAAAATAGAAATATCAGTAGAAAGAAAGAAGAATAGGTTTTTGACAGAAGAAGAAAATAAGGGTTTTGGAAGAGATACGTAGAAGTGCAAAGAGGAGGCAAAGTTAGGTGCAATCGGAGAATTAGAGCAACCTTCAATCCAAGGTAAGGGTGAGATTCTGATTCTATAATAAGGTATGTGATAAATGGTATGTGAGATTAGGTTGTAAAATTGTTTCTGTTTATGTTTGAAATTGATATATATATGATTTTGTATTGGTATTATTACGGTGCCCTGTATACGTATATCCTGCTTTCGTTAGAATACTGCAACATTAATTTCATTGCTATGGGTGTAGTGGCATAAGAAATTTAAGTGAGGAAAGCAAGTTCTCAAGTGTATCAAGTTACTAATATATATATATATATATATATATATATATATATATATATATATATATATATATATATATATATATATATATATATATATATATATATATATATATATATATATATATACTGTGTGATTCATAACAAGTGTATCAAAGCCATTTACATTCATCTATATTTGTAATATGTTGCTTTATTACTACATAAATGAATGATTCGATATTGTAGCGTCACTTTGATTTACTGTGTTACTATATTGCCATGTTTATTCGATTTATTACTACATAAATAAATGATTGGATATTGTAGCGTCACTCTGATTTACTGTGTTACTACATTGCCATGTTTATTCGATTAACATATCCACTGTAACGACACATACGATATAAATTGAGAATCCTAGTTAAAGTTTATAATATAATATGTTATTATGATAATAATAATAATAATAATAATAATAATAATAATAATAATAATAATAATAATAATAATAATAATAATAATAATAATAATAATAATAATAATAATAATAATAATAATAATAATAATAATAATAATAATAATAATAATAATAATAATAATAATAATAATAATAATAATAATAATAATAATAATAATAATAATAATAATAATAATAATAATAATAATAATAATAATAATAATAATTTAATATTATTGATAAATAATTTTAGGAGTTTTAAAATTAGAGATAAACAATTAGATTAATGAGTTAATTTAAATTATTTTCAATTCCGATAGAGTTGTTACAATTGTCAATTGAGTTGTCAATAGGGTTGTTAGAGTTGTCAATAGTGTTGTTAAAGTTATCAATAGAATTGTTTCGTATCATTAAAAGTCACTTTTATTTATTTCGTAATTCTGACATGTTTAGAGTTGTCAATAGGATAAGTTGGAGTTTCCAAATAATAATACATCATTGCTAAATTATGAGTATGAAAATTTGTTTAATCAATTTTAGTAGTATGTCACTAGAATAAATTAAGATAAGTAGCATAAATTGTTGGTAGGATTATTAATAAAGTGATAGTGTGGTATATGGTTATAAGTAGCAGAAAGTAGAAATACTATAAAATAGCAATAGTAGAAGCAATATTTAGCAGGCTAAATCAGTAACAAATTTAGAAGTTAATAAAATAGCAGAATATTGACAGTACGGGCTCTAATAGTAGTGTAGTATTAATTTAACAAAGACATAATGAGAATTTTAGAACAAAGTAGAAATAATAGAACTTTTAGCCAATAATTAATTAATCAGAAATAGTCGTAATAATCCAAATAATTATGCCGTTTATTTGTAGTAAATTTTGGTTGACTCGTTGTATTGTGTTCTTTGTTGAAAAATGTGAATTACCAGGTGATGTTATTGCCTCTATTTATGAGTAAAATATTAAGTTGTGGACTTATGACCAATGTTGGTTTGTTGTTGCGTTGCTATAGAATTTTGTTATTGCTATCCTGACATTCATATTGGGCCGCATACATAACATATCAAGTTGGAGCTGATGCTCGGTAAGTTGGTATGGATTAACAAATTAAGTTAAAGGCTTATGCCTTATTGATGCCTCTATTAATTGCAGATTCCTAAGTTGGGAGTTTTACTCTATTGGTACCACATGCATGTGCATTGTAACGAGTCGCATTCCGTGTTGCTTATTTAACATGTTGTGTTGTTGACTTGTGAAGATTGATGTTGGTTGAAAGTTATGAAGTGGTGATTTTATATAATCTGATCTAATAAATTATTTATCATACACTAAATTATATGGTTCGATATCCCACACCTTCTGTTTGAATATTGTCCTCTGTTGGTAACGTGCAGGTAATCAAGAAGGATAAATGTTACCTTCATTAGTTTGAGTCGGTGTTGTCGCTCTGATACGTAGCACTCGAGAAACACATGTTTTCTTTATTGTTGGTTTTCATTATGTTTCTGAATTTTTAAGTTGTTTTCATTAAAGACTTGTTGTCTTAAAGCCGTTTTGAGTTGGATAAGAAGTTATGGTGTTTTAAGTTGAATTTGTGAATCCGCTACGTAGCAACGAAAGTTGTTTTATTTTTAAAGACTAAATAGATTGTTATCGGTTAATCCGGATTTTATGTGTTATGTATCTGAACTATAGGTGGTTGAATATCGTTGTTTCCAAGTTGAAAGTTTAGCATTCCATTTGTTTGTTGGGAATTTTTTAACTCTAATTTTATATAATTTGTTGGGTGGAAATGGGGTGTTACGTTAGTGGTATCAGAGCAAGTTGGTCCGTCCGACTAAGTTGTCGAGTCATAGTTTTGTCTAACAATCGAGTATTGTTAACTTGAGTTATAACCGTTGTTTATGTTGTAGTGGTAAGTTGA